CTTTTTTAATTTAATTTTTAAAAAATTTGGTGGGGGTCTGGGAGGTAATTAGGTTTATTTATTTATTTATTTGTTTTTAGAGGATGTACTAGGGATTGAACCCAGGACCCTGCATGCTAAGCATGCAGCTCTACCACTTGAGCTATATCCTCCCCCATACATATATCTTTAACAAATATAATATATGCTTACGAAGTGTAAAAAAAATGTAAAAAAACAAAAAGCTAGAGTGAAGGGGAAAATTTAACTCTGGGTCCTGCAAGCTAAAGACCAGCCTGTTAACCTTTTGGTATGTGGCCATCCCGTCTTCAGCATATGCACTATTTTCCAGCCTACTTGAGATTATATTGTACATACAATTTTGTATTTTGCTTTTCTTCCTCTCCATATAATGTCATTTTTCTTTAAAGGCATCTCTTCTCAAGTCCTCTTATAAATAGTCATGGTGTTTTTAGAGCTGGTAATAAGGGCCCAGATTCACTTTAGAGAAGAGTAATAAAATCCTTGGAAAAGAAGAGCATGGAAGAAAAGTTGGGAAGGAAAACGTGTGGGTCTGCAGTTACTAAGAAATGGCTTTTGCTTACTTCTTCATGACTATGAAAGTCTAGATTCTATTTTTTCCTTCTTTCTGTTTATTATATTTTTGCTCTATTCATATTTGGACAGTTTTGTTGGGATCAGTATGCCTAAGTGACTGTGTCTGGGGGATGGCTGGACATTTTGGAAGTTTTTCCAGGAATTCAATTTTAGGAAAACCGGAAGGCCAAAAGTAGATTGTTGCTGTTTTAGAGTCCAGAAAAAATAACAAGGATATAATGATGGCGAGCCCTAGAGTATTATGATGTTAGACGTAAAGTATAGAGATTATCTAGTCCAATTTCCCCTCATTTTACAGATGGAGAAACCAAGTCCCAGAGAAGTTAATCCATCACTATAGCTCACATTAGAGGCAGTCTGGACTAAATTTAGGTCTCCTGATTCCCAGGCCACTGTTTTATAAAACTTCTGAAACCCTTTAAAATCAATTAATTAATCCTTGCAAGAACTCAGTGAAGTAGGTTAGTGTTATTTATTCTGACTTTAGGGCCATTTACTGAAAAAGTGATTAGATGCCTGTAAGCCAAAACTGATTCTAGTGTAATTAAACATGGTTTTAATCACTCCAAAAAGAACAGACTATTAAGTAGCTTATCATCTTAGGAATTAGCTTTCAGCTTCTTGCCCAACCAGTTTAAAGATCACCACTTCTCACCTGGCATTTTAAATTCCTTTTATATTAGGCGTAAAGCCTGTATTTGCGTGGTAAGATTAAGCAAACGCATAGCCATTATATTAGCTGTGTCTCAGTGCTCCTCCAGTCCTCAGTGAGTGGTGAGCGGGGGAGGGGGAATGTGTCACTGCTGGACTTGCGTAAATTATTAGAATGCATCCATTTGCCTGTTGGTTTTCCTTCTAAATGACTTCCTTTGGCTGCAATTTCTTATCAGCCGTTTTGCTATATGGAATAAGCGGGAGACACACAATAGATTTCTTTATGTAATTTATTGTGGTAATTATTGTCTGAATATGATAAAATAGTTTGCCAAAGCAGACTTTAATTAAGGTTTGCTTAGGAGATTCTTCAATCATTAAAGCAAACAAGGTGGAACGTTGAGTTCACAACTGCCATTGCAGTGGTTGTATTACAGAGCTAGGGAGTAGGTGACTTTGGAGTTCAGGGTCTCTTGTCTTTCCTTTTTCAGATTGCCTGCCTTCTAGGATTCACTGCTTTCATACGGTTTGCTTTAGCATTCCTCCGGGGCTTGTCCTTTTCAGAATGTACCTCTAGTGACAAAATTATTTCCCGCCACCATGAAATGCCCAGTGCCCTGATCTCAGCCAGCAGGAGTAGAGGGATCAGAGACAGAGCTGAAAGGCCCCTTGGAAAGCATCTCATTTGATTTTATTGATGGGGAAACTGAGGCCTACAGTGGCACAGACACTTGCCCAAGGTTAATATCAGAGCTGGAATTCAAATACCCTAAGGAATGATTTAACTTAGATGAGTCTTAGCTTCCTCCCCTGTAAGATGGAAACCAAGATATTTACTCAAGTTACTATGAGGGTCAAATATGACAAAATAAGTGAAAACACTTTGAAAGCTGCTATTTGGTACAGGTACCTAAAATTTTTCTTTCCTATTAAATTATGCTGCTTTCCTTATGCTAAGTGTGAATAATTAATAAATGTTACCATGTGGATCTTCCAAGTGGGATTTGCAGTTTGAAAGAGGAGGTCCTGAGGACTCATCTCACCCTAGAGGGAGAAAATGGACAGAGAAGCATTCCGGGTACCCCGCAAAGCACTTAGCTGCGCAAAGCCATATATTTTAACAGTAAGAACAAAGCCTGCTTTCAGAGGCCAGGGAGCTAAGGACTCTGTAAAGAACTTGAAAAACTGCCCCCACAGTAGTTCTAGCATCTAGGGTGGGGTTTGATTACATTAACTTAAAAGTCCCTTTTAACACTGAAGTTCTGTAATTGTGTGATTCCAGTTTATTCATTTTTACTACAGTCCTGTTCAGCTGCTTTTTCTTCAGACCCAGAAACATGAATGCCTATAGTATGTTACAAATTGCTGTCCTGATCTTATTGTTTATATATTTTTATTGAGATATAATTGACATATAACATTGGGTAAGTCGGAGGTGTACGATGCCTTGGTTTGATTTATCCTGATGATAACAAAGAAAAATAAAAAGGCAAAATGACCCAACACACTCACAATAAACACATATTCACACATGCACAGAAGACTTTGACAAGTTGAGTTTTTTTAAGTTAAAGTAAACATGAAGGAAAAGGACCATAACCTCTGGCCTTCAAACTTCCAGCCTTAATCGAGTGAACCTGAATATGAGTTAATGATACACGGCAAGGAAGAAAATCCCAGTCTCAGTTTCCCCAACTCTTCAGTTATTTGGATGAAATAAAGTCTAAACCAATCATTCTAGTCAGTGGCCTGATATCTATGTAGCAATGTGAATGGAAGTAGGATTGTTACATTCCACTCAGAAGCACCTGATGGAGGGATCAAATAAATTTTTTTTTAAATCACATGTTTATAGCCCCCTACTTGACATATAGTAGGTGCTCAGGATACATGTGTTCAATGAATGAATAAAATATATCAATGTGATTTACAATAGCCAAGACATGGAAGCAACCTGTGTCCATCAACAGATGAGTGGATAAAGAAGATATGATGTATATATATATATAGTATTATATGTTTTATATATATATATAATACTATATATTTTATATATATATATTATATATATTTATATATAATATATATAATAAAATATAATATATTTATATATATATATAATATATATATATATATATATATATATATATATATACACACACA